TCAGGAGATAGGGAGGGAGGAAGGGGAAGTAAGGCAAGTATTCCCAGTTTCCGTCTTCTGGTGACCGCAGCGTCTTTTCATGCTGATTACATCCTATGCTTGATTGGCGTTCCTCTGCTTTCACTATCTAGTGTGACCCCGCTGTTCATGCTTCTGACGGTCCTAAGTTTTGTTTTTCTTAGTTCCACCTCTCTGGTGGTTCTGATGTCCGCCACTCGTTATCCTGGAGTTCATTTTTCCCGTCCCTACTGCTGCCCTGCGCTCGTTCCTCCTGCTCTCAAATAGTATTGTTGCAAAATCCTTTCGCACACTAAAACATATCTTCATTTTTGGGATCAACTACAACACAAATTTCATCTTTTTCAACGCAGCATAAGTAATTCTAAATAATTTTATACCACGCAGGGCTTCCTTTGCCAGCTCGATGACTGGGTCATAGTTCTGCGCTGTATTCGAGAACAGTGTGCGGCAGCATGTTCGTTTATGCGTTAAAAAGCTTATTACACCGCGAAAAATGGATCCACATGACCTGCAACATTCACTCTCTTATTCCATAGACGCTTATAATTTATTATTCCTTACTAACTGCTGAGCATACAGAACGGAGAAGTGATGCGCATCAACCGAACGGGTGCAGCCCAGGAACAAACGATCCGGCACAGCACATAACGACATTTTAGCAATACCGCTCCGTGTTAAAACTATCATCACAGAAGGCCACGGTATTTTTGGGTATTTATCGAACTAATATGGTGCCATGCTCTGATTGTACATACGCATATATGCTTCTCAGATAACTAACTGAGAGGGGGAGACCTGGGATCTCACGACAATGAGGATGGTTGTTGCTGAAAAACAGCTATCATTTGAGCTATTTTGAGAATCTGCCCTCTTTAAACAGCATGATTTGGTCCCCATTTTTAGTTATCCCCTCCACCTCCCCGCTTCCCCTCCACCACCTCATTCTCATCTTTCTTCCCTTGTTCCACCCACTGAATTTACATCTTCGCATGCCGCATTTGGCTCAATGAGCATTTAGTGGTGGCAAGCAT